AACTTATCACATGTAGAACCAAAGATGTTAAAAGTTGACACTGAAAGAAGTTGACTAAAAGATTTCCCTTCACTTTTGAATGACCAAGGCAGTTTGCTTGTTTATAAATGTACTCCTCTGTCTGTTCATTTGTACTACTACTGAATTTGTGGACAGCCAGGTTGAATCGATGATTGAAGTAATACTACGGCAATTATAGTATGGTGAATAGTGAACAGTCACCATTTAGAATGGAACCAGTAACTTAGCTACAAGAGTTAACCAAGGGGTCTTTTTTGTTCCATGTGAGTTAGCCAAATTTTACTTCCATTACTCTGGGCCCTTTGAGCAATTATGATAAAATCTAAATAGCTGTCTTGACTTGCGGTGGGACACATTTCTAGAGTTTGCAATTATTCATTTTTTTACTAGCTGACTTGTAATTCAAAAAAAGATGGTGACTAGTCAACCCTATTTATAAAAAAAAACAAAGCACAAAAAAAAATGTGACTAGTCCAGACATCAGTGAAAAGTATTTTATTAGCAGTTTGATAATAATGGCTGAGGTGGCAGAAATTTTTGGTAGTTTCGTTCTCAGACAGTCAGCTTGCAGAATCTCATCTCTCACAAAGAATTTAAACTGGCTTCAACTATCCATGCTTCTATTTACTGGTATTATTAGCAGAGCTGGTTTGTTGTTCTGTGTTCAGGAAGTGAATGCATTCTTCTATATGTTTTTTTTAAGCATATACAAACTATGGTTTTGTTCAAAAGCTCCATATTAACCTATTCACTTTGGACTTGCTTGGGAGTGCCCTCTAGTGTTTGACAAACACAGAAGACATTATTGAGTGGCAGTTCCCCTCTCTACAAAGTCTCTGTCATTAGTTTGATGGGAAACAAAGCTTTCTATCAAGATAAATGCTAGTTACAAGCAGTTGCATCTATATTCCTCAGTAAGCCTTTCAGAATGAAATACAGGCCTAGTGGCTGAACCAGGAAACATTCCTTTTTAGTTATTTCAGAATTCATGCAGATTAGTTCTCCACAAACGTGAGTTTGTTTGTGGTGGTTGTGCATTGCGCTAAAAAGTCTGTGATTGGTTGTTCTGCATATCAGTCAAACAGCCCTTTCCTATCAGACGCCTGTCCTTGAAACCTACTGGATCTGGCTTATGATGCTGTATTTCAGTATAGTTTTATTTTCCAGCTTGCACTGGAATTGGTTTCATTTCAGGTAGTATTTCCACACAAATAAAGTACTTTGGTCTTTGTGCTTAGTAGACAACATTATGTCTGCCCTCTCCCATTGCTTTTTTTCATGGCACTGCCCCAGTGTGCGGACTGGTCAATTGTTAGTCATTTAGTTGACTAGTCAATGCAACCTGTACTAATTTTAAACTTGTCATTGTGTTATGGCCAATAATAAACCTTACTCTCTCCATGTCTTTCCTGAACGTCCACTTCATTTTATCCACCAGTCACTGCTTATCAACCATTCTACTATTCCACCATTACCCCTGTCAGCCCCCTTTTCTGTTCTGGTCAATTTAACAGAAGTATTTAGATTTTTTCTAGAATTGCATAGATAATCTGAATTTAGTTTTGGGCACCATAAGCCCCAGACTATGCAGCTTGAATGCAACACTCAAAAAACATTCTTCCAAAAAAAAAAAACAAAACAAAAAAAAAACCACAAAAACAATAACAACATATACCCAACACCGTGGTTAGTATGCTGCCATCATGGTGCTGCACAGGCCTCATGTAACCTCATGTGATAAAAAATGTAGCCAGGTAGGGGGCCTTTATACATTTGTGCCCAGGGGCCTGTAACTTGATTATCCAGGCCTGGGCATCCATTGCCCTGCAGAAGATGTTTTCTGACACTGTTGGGAAGGCCCTGCAGTACTGATGACACATGGTACCATTATGAGAGAGTATTTAGAGGAATGCCAATTAAATACACCCCTAGTGTTTCCAGTCTGTTATCAAGAGAACACTATGCTCACATATCACACATTTTTGCCCCTTCTACTAATTTTAGAAATTACTCTTCTGCCACGAGGTGAAGGACGTGCTGCTAGATACACCATGTTGATGTTTTCATTCACAGCTCATTGCTTCACCAGTGCCCCACGTTAGACTACATTACTCTGAAAAGGTTGAACTCATCTTCATGAGGGCCTATATACTGTTATTTTATCCTAGAATCAAGCTGTGAAACTGATTGAATGAAAGTCATGTGTGACACTTTTTTCCATCTTGTGATGTAATTTCCCTTTTGGAATGATTTTAAAAAAGAGAACTTCGCCTGATTTTCAAAATCGTGGCATAATTTACTATTTGAGACAGAAGTCATTCAGAGTGTTTTGCATTGCATCATAGATTAATTTACCAGCTTGGATATTCTTTACAATGGTGGTTGTGAATCTTGGTGGATCTTGATGAATGTTCAATTTATTTACCCTCCAAAATGACCTGTGACCCTACATTTGTCTTTTTATATGCAATGTTGATAATGGCAAAATAGTAGTGAATCCAAAAAACATTTTGTTTGGGTAGTCTTGCCTTACAATGTCCTTCACGTACCTCTCTACCATTAATGGATTTTCAAACTACTTTTTAGGCCAAAAGCTCATCTCAAAACCATTGTAAAACAAAGTACAGGGCCAAAATCATGTGGATACCCTTCCATTTCAGGTGTTTCAGCCATGTCCATTACAGGTGTATAAAAACAAGCACACAGCCATACAATCTCCATGGACAACACTGCCAGTAGAATGGGTCGTATTAAAGAGCTCAGTGACTTTAAACATGGCACTGTCACAGGATGCTTCCTTTGCCACTAGGTAGTTTGTGAAATTTCTGACCTTCTAAATATGCCCTGGTCAACTGTAAGTGCTATTATTGTGAAATGGAAGTGTCTAGGAGCAACAACAGCTCTGCTATGAACTGGTAGACCACGCAAACTTACAAAGGGGGTTGCCGAGTGATGAAGCATGTTGCGCATAAAAATTGCCTATCCTCTGTTGCATCACTCACTACAGAGTTCCACACTGCCCCTAGAAGCAACATCTGCACAAGAACTGTGCGTCAGTGGCTTCATGAAATGGGTTTCCATGACAGAGCAGCTGCGCACAATCCTAAGATCACTATGCGCAATGTCAAGCGTCAGCTAGGGTGATGCAAAGCACGCCGTCACTGGACTCTTGAGCAGTGGAAACATGTTATCTGGAGTGATGAATCATGTTTCACTATCTGGCAGTCTGATGAACGAAACTGGGCTTGGCGGATGCCAGGAGAACGCTACCTACCGGAATGCATTGTGCCTAAACAACAGTAAAGTTTGGTGGAGGAGGGATAATGGTCTCAGGCTGTTTTTTAGGGTTTTGGCTTGGCCCCTTAGTTCCAGTTTGGATGAATTGGAACAGTGTTTGCGAGCCAGGCCTTCTCGTCCTTCCCAGAAGAGCAGAGGCTGTTATAACTGCACGATTTTGAAATGGGATGTCTCAGGTTTTGAATGCCTTAAGTTTTGAAATGACATGTCCAACAAGCTCATATAGGTGTGATGGTCAGGTGTCCACATACTTTTCGCTATATAGCATATGGGGCATCAGGCAGCGCATTCATAACCAATTCATATAATAATTGTTCTGTGAGGCAGCTTTGGGAGGCATTAAATTCTTCAGATGTCTGGTTCCACTGTGAATAACTGTGACTCTGTACATTTCTCTGTAAAGCACATTTCACATCAAACCACTCTGAATGACCTTGAATAACCAAACTACGCAGAAATTATGAAATTTCAGTGGAATTCCGCTTTACGTCAGTTAGGAGGTGGAAACATGAAACATATGTAGAGCAGATTAGCAGCTGTAAGTCATCAGTTTCCAAATTTACAAAATGTGTTCTTGTTTCTGCTTTATTTCAGAACTCAAACAGAAGAGACACGCCAGCCATCTGATTTTCATATGTACAGTATTTGCTCAGTAGGCCTCAGAGAGTGTGATGCAGTTTACTAAGAGCTCTAACAAAGTGAATTATGAGTGGAACATCTCAGTTGTTGTCAAATGTTAATACTCATTAATAACTATAGTATTTCTCTTCATGTTGTGTATGACATTGTAATGATGAAGCATCATTTTCATTTACTTTATTTCATGAAAAATAAACAAAAGCACATATTCCATGTTATCAGTTGTCGTTTTGTAGCCATCTCTGGTAGTGTTTCTCTTTTTTCTCTGTCCCCATTCCCGCTACTAATCATCATCATCTGCACATCATAATAACAGCAGTCACTGTAATGGTGCCAAGAAATGTAATCAAAGCAGTAAAATGAAATACATGATAAGAAATTAGAACAAAAACAAACAACAGCAAAATCACACAAAAAACAAAGCCTATTCTTTCTTTTTTTTCGGTATACTTCATTTTCTAGCTTTACACTGCCATCTATTGGTAATGCAATGTAGTGTTTTGGATAGAGATCCAGCAATAAATATTTAGCCATGTATGCTATACTCTTAATAAAAACACACACATTAAGCCAAAAATTAACCCTTAAAATACATCACAAAAAGATCCAGGAGTCTAAAGCATGTACACAGGGGTGGGCAATATGATGATATTTTATCATCATCGTGATTAATTATCTCACAACACACTTTTCTAAGCATATCGTTGATATCGTCAGCAACTTAAGAACTCTGACCAACATCATGTTTCATTACAGAGAGAGCATGAGTAGTCTTGTTTAACTGGCAAACATTAATTAAAGGTAATTGTACATAGATGGTAATAGTATTTTTAATCGTGGGAGTAGAGATTTTTTGTCAGTTCCAACTTATCAAACCTCTAATTATTTACTAACTAAATATTCTGATACATAAAGTGTAACGTGAAAATGTCTTTAAGTATTGTTACATGGCGATTTTTGCCATATTGTCCACTCCTATGTATACAAAATCCTATATGATATATTACATCAATAAAATATACAGATGAAGACCTTCTGGTTTTTCTAGATTTCACAAAATTTCTACTATCATCTGAAAAATATTGAAATATTTGTCATGTCACTAAGATGCTGCATGCTCAACATGTAGCCTCTTGATCAATGTTGAATATAAGATAGCAGGTCTCCAGATGGTCCGTCCCTACCGTGTGATGAAACTGGGGCTGCAGGTCTTCTGGTTTCAGGCCATTCAGAAAGTGCGCACTGATCTCCTCATAAAGTAAGGGCCCAACATCCTCTGCAAGTGAATGATGAGAAGGACAGTCCTTACTACATATTTTCACCCATCATATCAGCAAGCTGGTATCCACAGTTTGTAAATCTTATACGGTTGATATTGGCAGTTTTATTTGGACAGTTTAACATTACTAATATTAAATATGAATCTTAATTGTATGGTATATGGTATAAGCCTTAACAAATACTACGTCAGAAAAGATATGTCTACTGACCAATGTACTTCTCTCTCAGAGTTCTCATGGTAACTGACAGGCCACCGGAATCCTGCAGCTTGGGGGAGTCCTCTTCTGATAGGGACTGCATGGCATTTCTAGCATAGTTCACCACTTCAGCTAACTCCTCCTCCTCACCCTCCTCAAAGTCATCTGGGTACTCAGCAGCGTCCACATCATCAGGGAGAGCTGTAACACATACAGTACAGTGTATTAAAGTTTACCCAAAAGTTTGGGGATTCGTACCTTTTCCACATGCCTTAAAGGGGACAAATTCTGTATTTTCCCTGTATTTGAAGTCCATTTATGGTCTTCTGTACCCAAAACAGTCATGTTTACAGGCTTATTTCCCAACTTCTTTTATCTCTTAAAAATAAACAGCCTGTTTTTATTACTGTGTCTTTAAGACCGATATATGTACATTGCTACTGTTCTGATTAGCTGCCCTGTATTGTGCCTCAATAAAAAGCAGTATGGGCTGAGACACTGCTTATAACATCACTTCGGTAGGTTTTTCCATAAAAGCAATTTAGTGAAAAGCATTTTAGTTTTCCATTATATGGGCCTTCTAGAGGGCCTATATGCTTTATTTTGTATTTTACTTTTTTCCTTCAATGTCCACTTATAGTGTTTGGGTTTAAGTACCAAAAACAGACAGTCATAATTATTTTTATATGATTTTTCAACCTCTTTTTATCTCTTAAAAATAAACAGCTTGTTTTTGTTGCTGTGCCTTTAAGACTGATATATGTAAATTACCTACATCCTGACTGGCTGTCCTGTATTATGCCTCGGTTAAAAAAAGCAGTCTGGCCTGAAACACTCCTTATAATGAGAATGGGTGGGGCTACACTGCTGTAAGCTGAATAGGTGGATAGATGTATTTGTGTTGGTTTTTGTGACATGGACTAAAAGGACTGGGCAGTGAACAGAATATTTAGAAACTTTAATAATGTTCACATACTGCATCAAAGTCTTACATCCATAAAAGCAAAGAACATTTTGTTTTCCACTATATGTGCCTTTCAATATAAATAAGCATGCTTTCTCTGTTGGTTTATATTAATACTAAAGGCTAAACCCAATTAAGAAACAGTATCGCTTGTGTAAATTGTGACTACCACTTTGGGAATATTGAAATGCGATGCCTTTCACACTAATACCTTTCTAGGTTTTCAGTGTGTGCTTTTAACACTAGTTTGCAAAATCACTTCACAACACTTAAGACAGTCATTGTACATCAAATAAATCCTTTATGTCTTATGTCACTTACAGCATATTTTTTATTAGTGTTCTATCATTTAAGAATCTTTTTGTTTGTATTGTAGTCAGTTTGCACAGTATTGATACTGAATAATAAACCATGGGATGTAATGAGCCTGGCAATTTCAGAGTTTATACAGGTAACACTATGGTATTGAAATATGTGAGCTCATAATGATGATAAACTCAATGTGAAAAACGCAGTTGCAAAGCCAACTTATCAGTGCATATCTGACAATGTTTTCTCTCAAAACTTCTCTATGGCTTACCATGCAGCTCTTCAGAAACAACACGCGCAGGACTGAAGGAGGCATCCTTCCTTGAAGCACCTTCAACAGATGACATACTGTCATTTTCTTCAAAGTCTTCTGAATAATCAGACTCAGTTCTAGCATGGACTGTCTCATCCTCAGCTTCAAGAGGTGCCTGACCATGCTCTTCCATACTTGGTGCTTCATGCAGAGTGGGCATTTCCATATGAATGACAGTGTTCTTCCAGGTTAAAGTTGCTCCTTCACTCTCCACAGCAGATGTGGGCTCGGTGACACATTCTTCTCTTGTCGGAGGTCTGGTCTCAGCGTTAACCTTTGTCAGTTCCGTCTCTTGATACTCAATGAACTGTCCCAGATGTTCCTGCACATAGGACATGCCCAGGATGCTGCTGGCACTCGGTCTGTTCTCAGGAACCAAGCACAGCATTTTCTCAATCAATGCGTGAAGATTATCTGAGTACCTTTCAGGTGCTGGGCTATATTCACCTTTTATTATCTTGTAAAACAAATTCAGCAGATTTTTAGCCCAAAAAGCTGGTCTGAGTGCACAAAGTTCATACAGTAAGCAGCCAAGGGCCCATATGTCAGATTTTGTGCTGTACGGAACGTCCTGGCACAACTCGGGGCTGAGGTAGCTGGGTGTTCCTACGCAGGTAGAGGCCATATCCAGAGTGTGATTCATTATCTTTGATATTCCAAAATCTCCCAGCTTAATCATACCCCTCTTAGTTAGGAGCACATTGGAGGTCTTAATGTCTCTGTGAAGAATTTTTGCAGAGTGAATGTAGCTGACTGCCATGACGACCTGCACGAACCAGTTCATTATGACATGTTCTGAGAAATATTCCTCTGCTTTTCTATCTTTAATCTGATCATCCAGTGTTCCACCATCACAGTAATCCATAGCAATATAAATGTGATCGTTTGCTGGATCATAGAAAGTGTCGCTCCATGTCACAATATGGGGGTGCCTGAGATTCCTCAGGATTTCAGCCTCTTGCGACACAGCCTCTTTCGTCTTTGTCTTTCGAGAGTTGTCAACCTGTATTCTTTTCACAGCATAGAGTTTCTTTGTATCTTTGTGTCTCATTAGAAAGACAACACCTGCTCCTCCACTTCCAAGTGTAAGAATTTGGTTATATTTTTCCATGTATCCTCACTTAAAGATTACTTAGCTTTTAATTGTAAAAGTCTGTTAACCCACTGGACTCTGTATTTCCATGGACAGTAATGTCAATCTGATTAACTATACTTACCTAGCGCCAAAATTAGGCCCACTTTGCTATTTTATGAACACTTCCCTGATTACACGCACAACAACGTCGTGAAAATGACTCTGAGTTAATTTAACTTAACCTACTTATAGCAAACGTCAGTTAATGTTTTATCACAGGTTAGCTAACAGCTAAATAGCTAACGCCAATTTCCTGACCCAGTTATCACCTACTATTAAAACATATTGAAGTTGACTTTATTTATGAATAACGAACAAAACCCTGACTTTCAAATACGATTAAATCGAGTTCAAACCGTTGTAAACGAAAAATTAACTACTTTTCCAACTAGCTTTCGAACTAACCTAAACTATTACCTCCGGTGGGCGTTTTGTTTTGGTCTTCGCAAATTATCTCCATGGCAACAGCGGCATGGTTGAAGAAGCGGACTTCTCATTGGCTCAGAGGAGGGGCTGCTCTGGACGGGCTCTGAACTGCTGTCTCACCATCACTGTGCAGCTCTCCAAAATATTCATCTAGCTTTGCTGTACTGTCCCTGACCGTGATCAGCTAATGGCATATAACCGAGTGTATCATTTAAAGCTATTATTTACGTTTATCTGTCATGTCCTGCGGTGGAAAAAGGAGAACAGAGCCGTTGTGTACATACATTTTGTCTAAATTAGAAGACATAAAGGTTTATAGATAGACATTATTTATACCTAGTGTTAAATGCATAGTCACAGGGAAGGGAATTGTGAGGTATTCATTTTGATTTTTTACTTGACTATTCTATAAATTGTATTGTATGTTAAAGAGGAATTCCACATTTTTTTCAAATATTCTGCGTGATTAAATCACATGTAAACAGAGTCATTCCGAGTGATTTGATTCGCAATGCTCCATTGTAGCGAAACCCGCCGTGTTAGAACTCTTCACAATGGTGGTGATAGGAACCAGACGTCTAAACCATTTAATGTCTCTAAAAACTCCCCAAGAGAAAGTTATTACACGAAATGGCTGTGGATACACTGACTGATGTCTCAGACGTTGTTTTACAACATTTTTGAGATGAAGTTTTGGCCTGAAATGTATCTTTTAAAAGCCAATCATGATAATGCAGAGCGTTAGCAAATCAGTCCCCAAAAGAAAACATTTTTTTTTTTCAAATTTACTACTATTTTACCATAATAAACATTACATATAAAAACTCAGAAGACAAGTGCAGGTTCACTGCTGGTTTTGGATAGTAAGTAAAATTCCTATATTTGTGTTGTAGACATGGTCACCCCTGGTTCTTATTATTTCCACTGAAAAGAAAATCGGAATCGGTAACTTTCTCTACCGTTTCATGTCAAAACACTCTGAATGACTTTATTTACATCACAACCACTGATTTATGCACACATTTTGAAAAATCTGCAGAATTGCCCTTTAATGTGGATTCTTTGTAAGAATCTTATAGTTATGTTTTATTAGGCTGGCTGACTGCTTTTATTGTTTTTCACGTCACAGAAGAGCTGAACCCAAATATCCCTTACTGGGGAACCATGAAACATAATAGTGGCTAAACGGAATTGGTCCTCCCAGCAGGTCAGGGGGAATTAGAGAGAAGCACTTGGCAACCACGGTGGTGTGGGTAGGCGTGCTGGTTCAGAGCAAAAAAGCTAGCTAGCTGCTAATAAACATGCCACCAAAAGGAAAAGGTGGCAAAGGTGCAAAAGGTGCAAAAGGTGAGTCGTGTGTGTTAATCACATTATTAGCAGTCAACAGTAACTCATTATTTTTCTTGATCTGGCAATGTTTTGCATGTCAAATACAATTTAGTATTGCATGCTAATATGCTAAGCTGCTGATAGTGGATTTGGACTGATAGCTGTTAGCGAGCTATAACCACGTTAAGACTGCTCTGAACTTTAGCAAAATGCTAACTAACTAATGCTGATGTTTACCTATTACGCAGTTGCGTAGAGAAATGTCCAGATAACTAACGTTAATTATCACATTTTGTGGGCAGTGGATATCATCAACATGATATAGCATATGCACTATAGTTAATGATAGCTAAGTTAGCTAGGTTAGCTAAGTTAGCTATCGATGCTAACCAGTCATATGGCAAATGGGTAGCTAACTTTCTTTTTTTCCAGATTATGGAAGGTGTAACGTTATTGTCCGTAAGATAATTAAATGTAGGCTCTTTCAGCAGGAGCCGCTGCCTCCGGCAGTGGAGACACAGACAAAAAGGAGAAAGCCCAGAAAGGAGGCACAGCAGTAAAGGTATTTGCTTTAATGCCTTTAAATGGGAACGTCATTTCTTTTCTAGATGTCTGCATAATTAAATCATTAACATGTAAATAAAGTCATTCGGAGTGGTTTAAAGTGAAGTGCCCTATTTTGGAGAAACTTCTAGAGTCAGAATGGTTCACAGTGTAAGTGATGGGAATCAGACGTGTGAAGTGTTTAAAACTCACTCACGGAGAGTTATTACGTTAAATGGTTATGAGTATGTTGGGGTAAAGTTTTGGCCTTTAATGAAACCTCTTATTCACCAGGGTATATTTTGGTTTTTCCATTTGAATTTACATGACCAAATTGTAAGGCAAATTATTCAGTCACTGCATGAAATAAATGTAATTATTTATTTATTTATTGTAAAAGTTCTCCTCAAATTAACAGAACATGTGTTTTATGATCATACACATATTGCTGTCTGCTTACAGTTTACTGCTGAAAGCCTGACGCTCTTCGTATTTTTTTTATAACAATAATATTTACACAGCAGATCACTGAAGAGACACCATCTATTTATAGTTTATAGCCCAGATTTGTGGAAAAGTGGGTCAACTTTCAGTAGAAAAAAAAGTTCAGCTTCTTTTATTATAAGGGTTTAAAATGACATGTCCCATCTATTTGACTGGAAAGAAGACACCCACATTCTGAATGTAGCTTATGAAATATGAAAGTTATCAAGAATAGGACGAAATGTGTTTTGGAACCACCGGTGGTCTCAAGGAGTTGAAAAGGTTAATATACGTTAATGGTGGAGGGGTGCATGCAGGGTGTGGTAAAGCACAATAGTACCTAAAGAAAACGTGACCCTTTTCTGATTAACCACTATTTTGCCACTATTAACATTACATATAAAAACTTAGAAGACGCCTGTAGGTTCACTGGTCATTTTGAATAGTAAATAAAATGGCTATATTTATATTGTAGACATTGTGACACCTGGTTCCCATCACCTCTGTTGTAGAGAAAATCTGAGTTGCTTTACAGTAGAGCATTTTGCATCAAACCACCCTAAATGACTTACATTTCAGTGAGTGAATTATGCAAACATTTTGAAAAAATGAGTGGAATTCCCCTTTAAGTTAACTGTTCCATATGATAACCTGTACATTAGGTTTGACAAGAACAGCCAGTAAACCTGCTAGTGATAGTAGGGTCTGTTTTAATTATATTTATAAGATAGAATATAAGGAAAGAACTGCACTAATATACACTGATTTGTCTTTTATTGTCTTACGATATATAAAACATGGATTTGTCTTTGATTCAAATAGAATAATTATAAATAAACCAGGTTATTTTTTTAAATAGTGACTTGTGACTTCATTTATAGTCAGCTTCTCGTGAGTGTATGCAGCAATTCATTAAGGAAAGAACAACTTTCTGTGCGGTAAACTCTATGCTGACTTAACATGCCTGTTATTGGGCTCTGGGTTGCACACCAGTGCAGTACTATCTTAAAATATATAAAATAAATAATTAATGAGATTATATTAATAGACAGATAATGAGTAAAACCTATTAATTTGAATACTGTAAGTTACATAATATTGTTAAATTGTATTATGAAATGGAAAGTTTATCAGTGAAACTTGATGCATAAACTGATGTGATGTTATTTGATCCTAAATCCGCCAGGTGCGTCATATTCTTTGTGAAAAGCATGGGAAGTGCATGGAGGCTATGGAAAAACTGAAGGCTGGGGTGCGCTTCAGTGAAGTGGCATCACAGTACAGTGAAGACAAAGCTAGACAAGGAGTAAGCAAGTGTTTTATATCACATCCATTCATTTAATAGCTTGTAAACACAAGCTACAGCCTTGATACCCTAATTATGATTTTACCCTTATTTGTTTTACCACTTTTACTCATAAGGGGATTTATAATTTACTTAACTTTGCTTTGCAGTGATGTGTTCCTCAAAGAATAGAGCTGTACAGCTCTTTACTATAGTGAAGCTCTCATAGTGCCTGTACTTCACCAGTAGATGGCACAATCATGCCTGCTTTGTTGCTCATCGTAGGAAAAGGCTTTCAAACAAGCAGTTGGGAAAAAACCCTTCTGGTTTTAACCGTTTGTGACCAGGACTTTTAAATTATTTAGGTTTCCAGTGTGAGAATACATTTTTGTGTCAATATTTAATTGAGTTTTATCGTGATTACTTTAAAATTCTATAACATTTATCAACAGGCCAGACAATGTGGTATAAAGTTTTTTGTATATATTTGTTTACTTGTATTGGTGCCAGTCTCCATTTTTCTCTTTTTTCTGTCCCACCCTCTGTAATACTAAATTCAGATTATTTTCATTATTTTTCTTTGATACCTGACTGCATTTGTGCTCAGACATGTTTGCGGCATACGGACATGGTTGGCTGAAATGCTTGAGCATGGCCTGAATCAGGATTTTACATCTGGGTGGAATGTGATTTTTATACTGATTAGACTGAAATGTAGGTGAAATAAATATCTAGTCTGGGCAGGGATCAGATTTCAGCACCTACCTAAATACAGCATAAGGAGGTTTGCTTTGCCTTTGGCAGGGTGACCTTGGCTGGATGACTCGTGGATCAATGGTTGGACCATTTCAGGATGCTGCGTTTGCACTACCCGTCAGCACAATGGATAAGCCTGTGTACACGGATCCTCCAGTGAAAACAAAGTTCGGCTACCACATCATCATGGTTGAAGGCAAAAAGTGACCATTGTTTTTGACCTTTGATTGCCAAACCACATGGCTTTGCATATTTTGTAGCACTGGCTGTTTTTTTTTTTTAACCATGTAAATATCAGTTAATAAAGAACTGAAAAAAGGCTAATGTTGGAAGTGTCGTTCTTTTCACATTCTTTGTTAGTTCTAGACACAATGAGACAGTGACATGCCTACGCACTAGGTGGTGTTGAGTCAGCCATGTGGGGCTATGTGGGATTTCATAACTTCCTTTCCCCGTGTGCAATGACAAGACTGAATATTTCAGAACAATGAAAGAAGCCATTAAAAAAAAAAGGTTCTTTTTTACCAATCTTAAAGAAACGGTTGGCTGAAAAAATATGTTTACACAATTCTTATCTCAAAACATGTAGTAGGTCAGCCAAGGTATGTCTGGTGTCTGAAGGTTACTACTTTAGTTGTGTGCTGGAGCTACAATGCTAATGTTGCTAAACGTAATGCAGTGCTGCTCGAGTTTTAAACACCTCAGTGTCACTGCTGGACTGCATGTAGTCCACAAATCAAAAATACCCAGCCAACAACGTCCTGTGGGAAGCGTCCTGTGACCACTGATGAAGGACAAGAGGGTGACCAACACAAACTTTGCAGTAACAGATGAGCTTCTGTTTCTAGTCATCTACAAGGTTGACAGCAGTGTAGGTTATGTGGGTCTAATAGAGTGGACAGTGAGTGGACACAGTGTTGCTGGAGTTTTTAAACACTGATGAGTCTGATCCACTCGTACCAGCGCACCAGCACGTGTCACTGCAGTACTGAGAATGAGTCCACCACCCAAATAGTGCCTGCTGTGGTGGTCCTGACCTTGATAAACAGGGTAAAAGGGGGCTAACGAAGTATGCAGACTACAGTCTGTAATTATAGAACTACAAACTGCACTTGTGTGGTAAATAGAGCTGATAAAAATGGATAATGAGTGTAGAAACAAGGAGGTGGTTTAATGTTATGGCTGAGCGTGTCTTGACCGATCGACATTGGCGTAAAGGGACAAATTGTACATTTGTTTCTCAGTGCCACCGAACCTTTTAAGATCGCGAGATAAGGAGGGAAAATGAGAGACGAAGGACAAAAAGATTTCCATTTGCTATTGAAGCTGCTCTACACATCATTGCCATTGTATTTAAAACAGCACGAACTGAAGCAAATGAGAAAAGCCACGCGGGGCTCGACTCCCCTTCTTCGCTCTCATTGGCTGAAAAATATGGAGTCAGATGACGCAGCGCGTTCCGGGTTCTCTCCGGCTGTTGGAGGTAACTATCGGTCAGTCTGAGCGGAGCGGAGAGCGGCGGCGGCGGGCAACGCTGAGCTTTAGCGGAGGTAAGAATGTAGTTCACCTGGCCTTTCAGATAAGCTGGGTATCGCTCTCCAGCAGCATGGACTAATCTTATTAGCGCTGTAATCTGTAACAAGATGAAGGTAGCGGCTTTAATCAAATATTGCGACAACGTTTGTGTGGATGGTGAACTAAAATGTGTCAGGTTAGCTAAGCCGGCTAGCTGGGCTGTTCAACCGGCGAGGCTTTCACTAAATCACGCGGACAAAAAAACAACGATTTGGATGTTTTTAGATGAAGTTTTCATGTATCACGACGGTAAAGTCTGTTTACAACCAAATGTGGACACTAAATTCAGGTGGTTTCACATTTGGGGAGGGGATGCGGAAAGCGTGTGCTGGCAGCCTCATGTGATGATAATGATAATGATGATGATGATGCTGGTGAGCTGGCTGACGAGTTACCGCCGACAAAGAGAGAGCGCCATATCTGAGGAAGGGGTTCAGTTCAGGGCGGTTTCAGAAGCCGGCATGGTTCACTGGGGGGTTTGAGCTGCTCTGGGTGACTTAGAAACGTTTTTATCAGCCGGTAGGAGCAACATGCTGTTGTTTGAGTGATAAGACCATGCGGCTTTATTTTTAGGCAACGTCAGGAAAAAATACAATGAACATAAAGAAGGACTTTTTACGGAGCCCGTAAGGGGCCTTGATTTTTTGAAAAAATAATTTCATTAAGTTCCTTGGCAATAATTTTGCGTTCCCTTTTTGCTGGGCTTTTGAATAGGAACGTACAACTTTTACGAGGGAACGCAATGTCCTTTTCCCGCAAAAGCACCTCAGGGGCTCCCTAAATTCTTTAGAGAAGAATTTTAAAGAATATATTTGTTGTGCGGGATGTATGAGTGGATATGAACTCTGTAAAGGGGGTCCCATCAAAGCCAACCCCCTCTGTAGAGATTTGATGAAAGCAGTTTAACCTATTATTGTTCATATCTGTCATGTTACATTTTATTTAATCAGTGTTTCCTTCATATATTCAGATCCATGAAACCATATGGCTGAAAAGTGAGATTGTTTTACTAACCTTACCATATTAAACTCAATCTTTTGGGCACATCGGTCTTGAATGAAACAATAAAAAAATCAAAATTTGATTGTAAAAATGTGCAAAAATCACAATAATAATAATAAAAATAATAATACATTAATCAACTTTTTTATCATGCTAAATGTAGACATTGAGTATGAGTTGGTTAACTGATTAAGACTCTTGTATCTTTAATGTTGGCAGTATTTCAGTATTGGCACATTTTTATGTCTCTAATTCGGTAGTAAATGGATAGAAGGGATTGTATTAAATGATAAAGCCAATAATCTCCAGTGTCAGGATAATTAGATCACTTTCCAGGTTTAAGTCCTGTCTAGGCTCTATGTATAGTAAAGCTATTTGTCCACCTGGTCTGGCTGAGGATGTGGTCAGTGTGTGGGGTGAGCTAAGGGGCTTGATATCATTGGCTCTCGCTGTCAGCCTTTCACACTGACCACTCCGAGGACACAGGGATGCAGGTTATCACTAAGCAGGGCAAATAAAAGAACTATTATACCATAGTTTATTTGAACTAGTTCATGGCTGTTGAGTGGAGTCTCAACGGAAGAGCAACCTTTATCTCACTAATAGGATCTGGTAAAGCATGAAGGTATGTGAACTGCTTGGTATGCACTGTGCTATAGCTCATGTATTGTAAGGCTGTAGATGTAGAAATTGGTTACTTTTTTCTCTCAATGCAAGTTCGAATTTTAAGAGGAATGACTACAGTGTGGAGTGTTTAATTCTCACACATATTAAATAGGAGTCATATCTGAATGGGACACATTTTTGTGAGAAGACTAGGGACACAGGACCCCTATTTTGTTTCAGTGTCACTGTGTTCTGTAAACAGGATGGATTACTTCAAAACCGTTGCAGTGATGACAAAAATGGCCTCATGTGTCCTTTAAAGCAATTTGGAGAAGGACAGATAACCGCCGCAGTCAGTAGAATGTAGTGAATCCTAACTACTGTCACTGGGTCAGTGATAGCAGTGGTTGTGCAAACTGAAATTTGGGCGTGAACTACATTAACCTCAAACTGCGGGAAGCATTGCTTCCTTCACAGCTAATGTTCCTAGAGTGGGTGAGCACGAGTTCTGAAGGAAGCCTTTCAAAGCACAAAGCAGTGTGTTGCCATCGTTATGTGCAAAAATATGAAAAAGCCTTGTACCAGTACTTTTGGAATGAACTTGAAGAGTTTACATTATTGAGATCCAATAGTATCATTGCTAGGAATTAACATATATGATCACTAAAGTGTTTGAATTTCGTCTGTCGTTTTCTTTAACTTCCTCATATTATATGTAGACATGATTAGGCCTGAGAGACAACACTTATTTAAGCAAAAGCAGAAGTGCATCATTAAAACAAGGTGAAGTAGTTCTGAAATATTTATTTTAGGCCAGCGATATTCCAGAAAAAATAGAGAAAGGATAGAAGTGGACATTCATGCCCAAAACAAGGTCACTTTAATTATATATTGTAGTTTTATTGTAATTGTATTTTTTATTGTATTGTAGTCTTAGCAGATCATTGAGATCATGATGTCCTGAGGTCATGACAGCCTGCAGTGTGTGGTTAGATGTGGCCATTCTCTGTTTAGTGCTCTGGAATGCATCTTTCACCAAGCACACGTGTGACTGCTAATAGGCCCTGCTGGTATCACTCCATGAATGCCCACTCTGTCAGTGAAATTAAGTCACAGGGAGCTTCAATCATACCATTTCTGAGAAAATATGACCTTTTTTTTTATCAAAGGATTTGCCCAAGGCAAGCACTTTATATGTTTAGACTGTGCTTAAGTAATTTCCTTAAGAGGCACATGTCCATCACAGTATAATTTTCTGAATATGTCATATGTATTTCTAGGACACTGAACAACTGCATGCGTCATAAAAAGTTAGACAAATTATAGTGAGCCTGTAACAATCAGGGTGTAGTCCTGCATAAACTGCCCAGTAATAAATGGCTGATTGGATGTCAGCCCAGTATGACATCATCCTATTTCATTAATTTAGTTTTACCAGTTTTTTGACTTCATCTTGTTTCTTCTTAAATATGTTTTTTTGCAAATATGGATTCAACAAATATAGCTTCCCATTATACTTAGTTTTTTCATGGCCTTTTAAAACTATGGCATTACTGTTTTGCCTCAAACAAAGAAACCTTATATCATCATGCATGTCATGTATTGTGAAAATATCTTTTAAGTGTGGTATATCTGTGCCATATTCCCCATCTTTAGGTTATACATTTTGGAGAGGAGCAACCAGGAACTACTTAATCTAGTAGAGTAAAGAAGCTAAAGAAGAGTTTTCATTCAGGCCTGGCCTGAACCCTTCATTCCACAGAGTCCCCACTTCAGCCTCTCTGCAAACATGATTCTCAAGATGGATCTCAGCACCGTTCTCCTGCTTCCAGTCCATCTGCTCGTATGGCTGTACTCAGTCGTGAGCTTTCTACCGTGGTACTTCCTAACTGGAGCCCAAGAAAAGAAAGCCCTAGCCAAGAGAATGAAAGCCAAGTCTGTCAAAGGTCAGGCAGAGGGACCCTATCGCTCCATGGATCACTTTGACTCTCTGGCCCGGATGGATTTCCCAGGAAAAGACACGCTAGACAAGTTGTTTGATCATGCTGTACAACGCTTTGGCAAAGCGCAATGCCTAGGAACACGAACTGTTCTGAGTGAAGAAAATGAAACCCAACCGAGCGGAAAGGTCTTTAA